AATGATGAATGGTTCCTTAAACCACCACTCTACCCGACGTTGTGAAAATTGGGGGACCGGTAGCACATGTTCATGAGGGCTACTGGTAGCATATTGTGGAGACCCGCCAGAGGCCCAAAACTGAAAAATCCGACAAATTGCCGCCACCACTTATTTTGTGGCTAAAACGATTATATATCGTCACTATCCCGGAAAGATCATGACCAAATCTATAGACCCTCCAATTTTCTGATTATTTTATGAATTCTTCTGAGCGTGAAACAAAATCGCTGAAATTGGGGTACGTTTCCCGTTGGCGCACAAGTAGTAGAGTGACAAAAATCAAGAATGAGACAAATTGGTGTGGCATTTATTTCACCGACTAAAACTTTTTAAATTTATTTAAAATATTTCCCGTGGAAAGATCACAACCAAATCTACAGGCTCTTCAATCTTCGGAGCGCGAAAAATCGCAGAAGTTAGGATACTTTTCCCTTTGGCCCACACGCTGGAGTGGCAAAAATGAGAAATGTGACGAATTTGCGCAGCATTTATTTCATGGTCTAAAACAAATTATTCTTTTCCTGATATTTTTCCCATAAAGATCACGATCTGATCCACAGGATCTCAAATTTTCAGATTTTTTCCCTTACTTTTTCTGAGCGCAAAAAATCGCAAAAGTTGGCGAGTGAAAATTGCAGAACTGGCCCCGCCTGCGCCTCCTGGTTATCGCCCCCGCTAAAGACCCGCTCCGAACTCACCGGAATGCCACTCTTTCGGTGGCGGGTAGAGTGGTGGTTGAAACCGGTAGTAGAGAGTTTCTCCCCACGGAAGGACAACCACACCTCCCTTCCAGGTAAAATACTCGTCATTAATTAGGTTGTTTTTTCCTCCCTCTCGTGTAAATCAATAATTCTGGCACTTAATAAACATGCGCTACGCTCTATCTAGAGACAGGTGGTTGCATCCTCCCAAGAGTGGCCGAGCCCACAGAAGACGATAGCAACGACAGATATATCACACGGAAAAACTTTCGAAAATGACGTCTTTCCCTGACAAAGTGGTGCCTTTGACGTCGAAAAACGTCTGACCCGTTAACGTGCCGCACCTTTAGGGCTTCGGGGTACCGGACCACAATGGCTGGAGGCGGCAGCCAAGACAAAAGCAAACTGTCGCGCTGGCCGCTCGTCAAAACTTGGCGTGCAGGGGCATAGAGGGGAGGCGAATAGACTGGTAAACACTGGACACCCACTTGGATAGGGAAGTCCTGGTTAGCTATTTCCATAAGCATTAGGATACATAAGCTCACCAGGACCATCCCGGAGGAAATTAGATGTGGCTTCAAACCTGAAACACCAGTCTCCCAATCGGCCCCTTTTGACTCTGCAAATTGAATATGGACCTCTCGTCAGAGGAGCCACCTACCGCAAGCTGCATCCTTGGGTCCATTTAGAAGAAAAAGTTATATCGAGGAACGTTGGAATGGTTGGTGGGTGTCAAAGGCCAATCCAGCAAAAATTGCATCACTTCAGTGGCAAATAGACCACCGTTGCCTGTCCACCACTGATTGCTTGATTGACAGCACACATTTCGAACAGAGGGCCTCACCCTCCCACCGGTGCAAACTTTGCAGCAACACCTCCCCTGTATGTAGGATCTCTGAAACGATCTCTGAAACTACCGAGCACATTATGCTGCAAAGCCCAGGTTCAGCGTGGATACGGGCCATGCAGCGGGACCAAATTTGACAACAAGGGGGCACCCAGGACTCCAGGAGCAACGGCCATGGGAGTGGCGTGCGCTCTTGTGTGGGGCCTGGCAATCACATTCGCCAACAACATGTATGAGATAAGAGAGAAGAGCGGTGGTCTGGGCCCTCCGATGGAGAGACCCCGCACATTGGAAACTGAAGGCACACACGTAGAGGCGGCAAGGACTTCACTGACACAATAAAACATCAGGTGCAGACGGACTTACACAATAAAACATCACGTGCAGACGGACTTACACAATAAAACATCAGGTGCAGACGGACTTACACAATAAAACATCAGGTGCAGACGGACTTGCACAATAAAACATCAGGTGCAGACGGACGCATTTTCTAATACAAGAAAGGAAATCAAAGCAGCAATAACACCATTCTGTAATGACTGGCTGGGGGGAGGCTGAATTGAAGAGCGGAAGAACGGACAGAGGAGCAGGGAGAAGCGCAGGATGATCTCATCAGGAACTACGAGCTCTCCTTCCATCAATGGACTGAGACCAACTCTGGACCCACTACTATTTCCCGGATCCTTTCAACCCGCGCACCCTTTTGCTGGTTCAGCCCCATGATATGGGGGGAGCTTGCTGCTGATCATCTGTGAATGGGGAATGCTGGTACCACATGGGGTTGTTCCCTGGTCTCGGTCATCTTTCTTAGACATGTCAATGCCATGCTCCGCCTTTCTCAAATGATGGACAACGTTTGTATTGTGTGTGTTTATGTTGTGTTTTGAAAAACGACCACACTGGGCATCTGGACATCTAATAAGGCAATATTAGCCAAACTTCCGCACTTGAGAAACACTCTGAGCAATCTGCAAACACTCGAGAATGCTCTCCCCCCACACTGGGCACGCCAACTGTCAACATGCTCAGAACACGCCCAAGGCACCTGGCTGGAGCACCCGGACGACGAAGGGGCCGTTCTGAGGATCCAAGGCCCAGCCCTGCACACGGGCCTAGAGGGGCAGAAGTGGTACCTCCTGGACAAGTCCACTCAGCATGGCCCCCTCAAAATGGAGGAAGAACATGTAATCCACTCCTCACTAGGACTGGTGGAGGTCGGGTTCAGGAATCCCACCGTACCAACTCCGCCTCCCACACTCTCCTCCACATGAGACCTGCGCCTGGTTGATTGAGCCCCTCCTCTTGGAGTGGAACACAGCTGATCCCCGCACTCCAGTTGTTCCCATCTGCCATTACAAAACCAAGTTGGGCGCTAAATTACAAAGACAAAACTCCAACAAGAAGCCAATCTCCACGGCCATGGTGTGCAGACGGTCACTGTCACACCCCCAAAGGGTACAAGATGCCGAGCTGTTTAAATTATGGGCCATTCTCAAGAAACTACCTTCGCAAAGACTAAGCTCCCTAATGTGGTTACAATCAATGCAAGTCACCCCGTCCTCTATGTGGCCGATATCTGAAGGTATGGAGGTGAAGGCCACGTGTGCGAGATGCAACTGGGGTTGGGAATCCCTCTCGCACATCTGAGTGGACTGCCCCCTCTCGCACATCAGGGTTGGGAATCCCTCTCGCATATGGGAATGGTGGAAAAAACAATGGAAGAGATGCTTCAGGTCCTTCGACTGGTCGGATTTTTGGGTACTAACCGGCATCCCGCCACCCGGAAAAACCTACGACTCAGTAAGATATGCTGGATTGGTTGGCATTCTGTTGTTAGTTGAGATTGTTCGTGTTTCGCGTAAGCTAAGCTATAGCCGAGGCTGCCAGTTCCCTGCTGAGTTGGCCGGATTTGGCCGTTTTCACATTAGATGGGTGAGTTTAAAGCATAAGGAATGGGCAGTCCTCAGTATTTGATTTCCTTAAAAATTGAGTTGGCCGGATTTGGCCGTTCCACATTGGATGGGTGAGTTTAAAGCATAAGGAATGGGCAGTCCTCAGTATTTGATTTCCTTAAAAGATTGAGCATAAGGATGTTTGAATTGGTTTGTCACTGTTTGTTACTATAAGCGAAACTGGGTGATGCTCCCAGGATAACTTCCGGGTCGAATTGTGAGGTCCTCGGCCCTGAATTCTTTTATTGGAAATATGAGCCTTGGGCACTGGGTCCATGTTTAAAATAAAACAAAAAAAAACAAAAAACAAAAACAAAGACAACCACACCGACCTATTTTCCGTTAGTGTTTTTAACAATTCATCATTTCCAACCGCTTTTCCGCCTGCACCTGTGTGCCATACATCACAAACAACTTCCATCCGTAACACATTTTCAGACATCCACAGACGTGACAGCAGGTTGTACCTAAGCCCTTGCATTCCAATTCAAAAGCCCTCGAACACGACCCGTTCGTCAAGGCAGTACCACCAAACAGTATCGGAGCGATCTAGCACTGTTTCATTTCTTATTCCTCAACGGGCAGTTGGTTCTTTTGTCCAAGGTCCAATTCCTCTCTGTCTAGGGACTTTCTGCAAGGTCCAATGACTCTCTACCTAGAGACATGCACATGAACACCACATACCGTTCACGCATATCGTAGTGTTTGTACACACTCCCTCAATCCTCTTTACCTATATACCACTGGATACCAACAAACCTCCCCGGCTGCTTATTCCAATGGCACCCCTTCTTTTTTTTTATTTAATACAAAAACCAGCCCTAGCTGATGCTAGAGGTGCTGATAGGAGCAGGCACCACTACGTCCACTTCTTCCTGTATTCTTCTGCATTGTTTTCCTTTGGGGATTTCTGGGTATTTATACATGTATACTATATTGTGATAGTCGAAATCAACCCCTTGAAGAGCTGTGCAGGGGGCAGGGAAACTACAATGGAAAAGAAAAGCTTCTACGACATCCTGTACATGTCTGCCGTAGTGTGGATGCTGGAGTGCAGCAACATTTTTTTCTACAGCAACGTCTGATTGACAACATGTGTTTCTACAGCCCAAACAACCAAAATAATAAAATATAAAATCATATCATATAATGATTACAATCCAGTTCTATTCACCAGGTTCGTTGGTTTATTTCCATACATCCATCCTCGTCACAGACGAGGGAGGTACAGTCAGCCCATCCATTCATCGCCCTGTCGCTTTCAACCAACCAATAAACCAATCACTCAGGTAACCCCCCCCCCCCACCAAAAAAAAAAAAAAAACAGAAGACCAACAGATTAGCAAAGCAATAGCTTGGGCACACATTCATCTCGAAGTCACCCACTTCACACTTCCTCCACCAATCACTCTATTATTCGCTCAGCCAGTCCAGCGATAAGCTGCACACCATCAGTCGACTAATAGGGCAAGGCAAACAACGGACTTCAACTGTGGATAGCGATTTCTACTCACAAGGCGGATTGGTATGAGCGAGAGAGAAGGTCTGGCCTTTAAATAGCTAAACAACGGACTTCAACTGTGGAACATTTGCCCTCCCTCCTGCCTGTGAAACAGAATCTCACAGCCAAGCATGTCAGTGCCAACGAAAAACAGACACCCTTCACATAATAAAAACAGCTCTACCAGCAAAGCAGACAGGCGCTCCCCAGAGAACTGATTAACGTCTCTAGCTATTGTGGAGCACGTCGCACGAATAGAATCCATTTCATCATCAAGCCATATACAGCATACGTCCAGAACTGCTCCCAGCCCCCCACACCATCTTCTTCGATTTCAATAATTCTGGAGCATGACATTGACAATCACATAAAACACCGCAAACATGAAAAGAACACCGGCACGAGCATCATCTGGCAGAGCAATCATCAGCCAAAGAAATAGACACGTGGCCAGATATTATAGAAAGCTCTTCTTCAGCAACAGAAAGCCTTATTCCGAATCGAGTGTGCACGGCACATGAATACACAACTCTAGCCTGCATGGAAGAAACGAATTCTCAGCGAGAGGACGGACAAACAGTCCACTTCTCCAAATAACCGACCACCAACCCACCCACGATAAAAGTCTAAAACCCGCATCCTCACTCAGGAGGAAGCCCACAGATGGAAATCGACTGATGGAAAGCAGCCTGCACATCAGCAGGCTGACAACCTTCATCACAAGTAGCAAATCGGCGGCCGAGGACCTTGCTCACAAGAAGAAGATTGGCCCAGCGCCGATCTGCCTACCAACGATGAACCTTGTCCGCTTATTGGTCCGCAAGCACGCCCACAACTCCATACTCCATGCACTTCGCGTCTAACAAAGTACACATTAAAAAAAAAAAAAAAAAGCGGCAGAGACGTCATCGAACCGCGCCAAGCGAAGCCTCTCACCTCGTATTAAAAAGAAAATAGAAGACCCCCGCAACAACCTTTCGCCAACATCAGATAATTGATCTTGAACAGCTATCCCCTGTACATGCCCGAACTCTGCCAGCAACAACTCCAAGAGGCAGAAAGACATTCACCCTTCAGACCGCCCCATGTTGTCCAAAGCAAAGTGAAATAGCCCAAAGCGAGTTCAGCGTTTGTGACTGAAATCAGGTCACACTACATAAATCAAAAACAAGAGGAACCTCTGTCCAGTGTCCACCCTCCTCCTTTTACTCTCGTGACCACATCCAAACTTCTTGCAGCCTTCTCCCAACCTTCTTGCAACCCCTCCATCCCCTCCGCTTTTCCACCCCTCTTTCCTTGTTGAACAACCTCCATCCCCTCCTCTTTTCCTAAGAGCTGCTATCTTACTTGAAGCCTCCACCTGTCCACTCCCCCGAATTATCACCCCACGCATCCCAGCCTTTCCCACTGGATGCTCTTGAGACATCGGCGCCATTACCTTCTTGGTCAGCAACATCCCACCCGGTCCATGTTTCACCTGATGCCTTGCTCTCATCTCTAGCTTTTCCATCAACATCCAGAAGACTGCTGCTTGAAGTTACCTTTGCCCCCGTGGTGGTCGCTCCAGAACCTCGACCGGGCCCATTGAAATTACCTCCAGAAGCCCACTCATCATTATCTGCACCCCACTCTTCTCCATATTCCGAGGAATAACCACCACCCTTCCCCCTTCCACTGTCACCACCACTCGCACCTGTTCCGTGGCTGCTACCGTACCGCCCACCGTCACCAGTGCTATGCGACGCAGGACTGCTGCCCATGCCGGACTGAAGGAAAGAGCCGTTGCTGAAACTGAATGGCGGTTTCACCCCAGCCTCCTTCGCATAGTTCTCAACCGTCGAGGCTGCCATGCTAAAAACCCCCTTCATTACACCCCAGCCTCTCTGACTTAGCTCCGTCGTCTTGGCAGCCAGAACTTGAACTCCTTCACCAACTTTTTGATCAATGCCACCCTCGCGAACCTTTCCAACCACATCAAACAGTCCACACAGGGCAAACAACAAACCACATGGATTCCTACCGTCAAATTTCCAGGACTGGCAGGCAGTTCATCACACTGGTGGACATAAATATCACTCCGGCCAAAAACATCACTGGAAATCATGGAATGGCAGAGGGCCAAAGTTCCGAAAGACCGCCCACAAATGGAATCTCAGATCAAAAGAAATACAGTGTGCATCATGACATTATGCAGCTTCCTCATCTCTACATGCAACCGCAGCAGAGGAGCTGCATCAGAGCATAAGAACATAACATAAACTTCAAAACAAAAACCAGAAAAAAAAAAACATAACATAACACAGTGGGCGATCATGCAAGCACAACCCGAGAAGCTCCGTGACTTTCCACCCGGGGCTGCTATCCCCAGTAGAGCAGCGAGCAGAACAGCACACAGGTCAGTACTTTTTCACACCAGGCTAACTACCAAAATCAGCAACAGAGTACCTTTACTCGGCAGCTCACACTGCCGGGCAAGAGAGTTGCCTTTCTCACTGAGTGCAAGATGTGTTGGAGTGGAACATTCCTGCAAGACCGTGAATAACCAGCGAGTACATCTCTCTGCCAACAGTAACTGGAGGTCTGACCATCCCCACCTAGCTCCACATGCTGGAGATAGCTAGTGGGTTGCTGGGTATGATAGTGGAAGAACTGTANCCATCCCCACCTAGCTCCACATGCTGGAGATAGCTAGTGGGTTGCTGGGTATGATAGTGGAAGAACTGTAGACTAACGTCTTCACTCGAATCGACCGCCTGGTCACTATACCTGTATTTGGGGCAAATTTCAACGCGGATGCATCAATAATGACCGGGTGTTCTATTCGGCTGTAGACAGTAGCATTCGTTTCCATTCTATGCAGCATCACCCTGGTTCCTGTCGCCCCAGCACAATTGCGTTTTTGTTAATGGTCCTATAGCTCTAGTAAAACTACATCATCATGTATGCTTGCACTTTACCTTCCGTTTGGGCGAAGGATCACTAAACAGCATCGATCACTTCATTTCGCGGCGGATTGACGGTTAGCGTAAGTTTCCTTCTCTCATCCCGAGACTGACAACTTGCAGCCAAAAAATGGGAGGTCTGAATTCGAGACATGAAACTTTGTGGTCCTTGAAATCTGTCATGGAATTCCAACACTGACTGCTGCTTCTCATGTCCCGGAATTCCAACGTTGTGGTCCTTGCTTGAAGTCTGTCCTTGATAGTACCATGGGCCTCCTTGTGTTGTCTGCTTTGCCACTCGTTACTCCCTGAATTCTGCCCTTGAAATCTGTCCTTGATAGTACCATGGGGCTCCTTGAAACTGAATGATGACTGCTGTTTCTGGGTTGTGTCAACCCACCCGATACATAGTCCCTGAATTGCTGCCACGTTGGTCTTATTTTCACCGGCAATTTTGCTTCTCGTTGCCTTTCACCGGCCAATTTTGCTCTGCCCTTACATGGTCTTATTGTCTTGATTTTTTGGTGATTTGTTCCGCCTCTGTTCCAATTAGTCGACTCTTCGTTTAATTGCTTGGAAGGGTCTTTTGTTTCCAGCAGCATTTCAAATTTTAACTTGATGGGGAATAGGACTTTAGTATGCTTTCCATATTGCATTCCTAACTAGGCCTATTGACCACGTGAAATTTTGGTGGTTTTCAGCGGGCCGTTCGAGAGGATCAAATTCCAGGTCCCGCTTTGCATTCCTAATTGGGAATATTGATTCCACGTGAAATCCTCTTCGAGCAGTTCCGGAATGCCCCTGAGAATGCATTTTATATATTGCATTAAATCGAGTCGGAGAGATTTCCCTTCAGCTCAGCTGAATCTCAACTCTGCCGCGCTGCTCATACTAACACCGCATCATATCAAGAAGTGAAATCTGCTTGCACTAGATAGCTTTGGCAGCTGTCAATGACGGGTGCGACAATCATAGGGTCGCTGGGAACAAAGCGAACACCCCCTTGCGAGTACAAAGCAAGAGATTCCTAGTAATAAGCGATGAAATCATTCCAGATGCTGCACGCACTTGCGAGTACAAAGCAAGAGATTCCTAGTAATAAGCGATGAAATCATTCCAGATGCTGCACGCACTGTCATTGCACCTTGTGGACATTCAAATCATCGGCTCTTGCAAGCACACTCCTTCAGCCGGCGGAATTCGGGCAAACTTGGGGCAGTATATATAGACAAGCCCCTAACTGAACCCAATCTCCCCACGAGACTCTCAATGTAATTTACCCATGGAAAGCCCCCAACGATTGACTTACCGTGAGGGCACGGGTGCGCAGCCCGTAGTTCAAGGTAAGGTAGTGACTATGCTGTATGTATGTTTTGTCATGTTCGCTATACACAACTCGAAGAGAGTGTGTGTGTGGGGTCCCGGTTGTTGCTTTATTCACGATGTTCATGGGACGCTGGACCCAGTTTCCAGCAGATGGGGAACACGATGTTCATGGGACGCTGGACCCAGTTTCCAGCAGGTGGCGCTCCCCATCAATAGACAGGAGAATGTATGTGCGTGTGTATGTGAGTGTGTGAGTGTGTGTGTGTGTGTGTGTGTGTGTGTGTGAGAGAGAGAGAGAGGGAGAGAGAGAGAGAGAGAGTGCGCGTGTGCGTGTGCGTGTGTATGTGTGTGTGTGTCTCAATGTAACTTACCCATGGAAAGCCCCCAACGACACAGAGAGAGGTCTGTCATTACTAGAGGCCACACTGCAGAGACACAGCTTGCTGGGCATGTATACTTAAGACAGCAGGAGAGGTCAAAAGAAGATGGGAAGGAGTGAATACATCGGACAAACAAATGGCGCATGCACAGGGAAACCGTATTGTTGCCCGTGCGCATGTACCTATGCGTCATTGAAACTGAAAATCGAAAATTAGACAGCCAACGTGTGATTACCTTCGTCGCAATCTCTCGAGTACCCGCTTGAACAACATTAGTCGCGACTTGAGCCGTTGACGTAGCCACAACACCCAAACGGCTTATTCCCTGTAGGTCATTCACAGCCATCAGGCGACGACACAAAAGTTAGCACCTTCTCTACTACTGCAACATTCCTTTCTTTTTTTTTTCCGCTACCTACTGCGACATTAATCGGTGCAGTACAAACCACCAAAAATACCCAAAAAAACAAATACAAAACAAAGACGAGCTCAAGTTTGACATTTCCACACTACCGGTAGCACATCATCACAGGTAATTCAGGAGACCATATCCGCAGCTTCTGCTTACTAAAACCAAGGGCACCTTCTGATATCTTACGGCCTACCATCTTCCCCTGAACATAACGCACCCTAAAAATGAATGTATACAAGCTATATGTCCGGCCAGATACAGTCAAAATGCGGGTGCGTTGTGTTCGGGGGAAGACGGTAGTATTATTATAGGCCTCGCCGCTCGTCACTCGCCATATGCTTATGGGCACCTTTCTTGTAACCACAAAAAAAAAAAAAGCTTCTTACCGAAACCACTCTTCACTTGACAAATGCCAACATTGTACATGCATCCGTATCACTTCTGTGCACAGATTCATTCAGAATATTGGCGTCTGCTATCTAGGTCGATTACACATTCATGAAACCACGGGTCGGAACGGGGGGGGGGGGGGGGGGGGGGGGGAGGAGGTAGGCACAGGGTCGAGTGCGCAAGGCGGGTTGGGGAGCAGCGGCAGGAACTCAATGGGGTGCGTGCGGGGGAATAGGCTTTTCGCCGTGGGGGGAGCGCGGTGGTACCAGCTGAACCCCGCCGTAGTCAGGGGCAGCATTAGACAGCTTGATCGGCTTAACACAGTTAGGACCTACCCAATGAAACTGACAGCAAATTGATTCAAATCCCTCCCTTCACATCGCACTTACATCCGTGTGTGCATTCGACAGCATCAAAGTAGGTGAAGCGAACGAACACGAGTGTTTGCCGCAGGGTCAACATCAGGATCCCATAGTGCCCCTGGAAGTGCATCGGTAAGGTGAAGAAGAGACAGAGAAGGATACAAGCGACATACTAGAACGGAAGGTGACGGAATAAGGAGAGAGTCACGCGTACAAACACGCAAGCCCGAAGACGAACGGATTGATTCCTCAGAGAGAGAGAGAAGAGCAAACCGCCCCCGTGTGACGAATCCTCCCTTTGGTGTGGTCAACGACGATGAAGACACCCACGTTTTCGGCCGTTCTCGTACTACTATTGAACAGGACCAGAGACGCTAATAAGGCAAGTTCGCAGGGGCGAAAACAAGAAACACACACGGAGAGAGAGAGAGATAGAGAGAGAGAGAGAGAGAGAGGCCCAACGGAAAAACGCGGACCAAAGACACCGACATCGGACGACAGGAAGACAAACGGCCGCAGACGGGGAAGAAGACAAACGGAAAACAGACAGATGCATAGAGACAGAGACAGTTTGTGCTTCACAGTCCTCTTCATCCAATCAAACTGAAATTGTGCAACCTCCTTCCAATGGAAGGTCCGAGCAAAAACGAGTGCAACACACGGACGGCCGCGAGAAGTCACAAACGAGTGCAACACACGGACGGACGGCTCGAAAAAAGCAACCAAAGACCCAAAGAAGACAGTAGAGAAGTGGACATTCGAAAAATGCAGACACACGCAAACGACGCACCACGAAAGACAGCACGGTTTGACAGATGGACGGACGGACGGAACGTTAACTGGATGACCGCTGGCAGGCAGAAAGACAGCAACCAGTTCTCACCAAGGGGCGACGCTCCTCTACAGAGCAATATGGGCCGCAGAAGCAGATCAGCGGCGAACAAGAGCCTTGAGGGCACTTGGGCGACGACTACCACCATCCCCAGAGTGGGAAAATGTAAATTCCACCGAGAACACAGATCGCGCCCAGAGCTGCCTTTGTGCGCCCCCATTCCTCCCTCCTCCCTTCACAGCGCCAATAATCCAGCCCCCACTTCCGTCGGAGGTCAACGAGTCGAAATGCTAGGAAGGACGAACGCGGAACCCCACGCGAGAGGGGTAGAAGAAAGGGGATGAAGCGAAGAGAATGAAGAGAAGAAAGAACGGAAATCGAGAAGAGGGGACAAACATATGGAGACAATGGAAAAAATGAGAAAACGAGGGGATGAAGAGAACGAGGGGAATAGAGAAATCGAAGAGAAGGAGACAGTAGAGAATCAAGAGCACAAAGAGCTAACAAAGAGACAAGACATTGAAAACAACGGTGAGGAAGTGAAGACTAGTAGGGAGCGCACGGGCAGGAATCCGAAAAAACGTGGAGACAATGACGAGCGCTAGAAGACAAACGAGCAGATCCTGGCAGTTCTAATCTGACTTACAATGAATAGATATTTTATAGAATCAATACATGATATATATGATTATTGATCAGAATTATAATAGCAAATAATAATAAATAGCTACTTAATTATTCACTTCATACATATACAGAGAACCGTATGTCATTTAATTTTTGCAAGGTAGTCATCATATGCAGACAACAGGCGGGGAGAAACATGTGCAGATATTCACCAATTGTCGCAACGCACTCAACAATTGTTGTTGCAAGATACTCGACAATTGCTAGGGAAGAGAAACGCAGAGAAGCTGACAGGTCTAATCAAGACATATGCAGAGAACAGGTGACAACAGGAAGGGCATCCGTTCGATAACATGCATTGCAAGACACTCAACAGAACCGAGAAACTGATTCAACAGAGTGAACACTATGGGTAACATAGGAAAAACTACAACTACACGTTGGGTAACATAGGAAAAACTACGACAACTACACGTCATACTCATTGACAGTCGTCGATTTTCTTATATTATAATTGCTATAGTTGCAGTGGAACACGAGAACGGAAGGGGGACAGTGGAGTGAAGCACTCATAGAAACTGCATAGAAACTGAGTGATGACTGCGATGACACCTCATAGCATCCAACCAAGAGCACGTGCGCTGAGGCCCGTCCGATGGGTTGTCACGGCGGTGGCACACGTGGCACCACATGGCAACAGCTCGCGCAACATGTTCGAGCGCAAACATGCGGTGCAAAATGCACGTTCCTCCATAACGGAAACGACTGCCAACGTAACACGCGGATGTAGCGCAACAGCGTGGCGCAACAAGTCGATCGTGCGGACACGTGGCGCAACATGTGCAACACGCTCGCAACGGCTGGCGCACAACATGTCGTAAGCGCAAGACGTGGCACGATACGGGGCAACACGTGCCACAATTCGGCGCAACGCGTGGCGCAACACATACCGCACCACGAGGCGCAACGTAACTCACCACGAGGCGCAACACGTAACGCACCACGAGGCGCAACACGTGGCGCAATACGTGACACACCGGCGCAACACAGCGGCACAACACAGCGGTTCAACACGTGAGAGTACGTACGAGGCGCAACACGTGGCACAACACGTGGCGCAACACGTGGCGCAATACGTGACACAGTAAGGCGCGAAACGCGGCGCAACGCACCGGCGCAACACAGCGGTTCAACACGTGGAAGTACGTAACGGAAACGGCTGCTGCAGCGCATCACCTTTCCCCCAAACACCAGGGCAGACGAAGACGGCGCCCAACGCGTACGTCAGTCGTCGAGCGATTGTTCACATTTACCAGTACTCCAAACATCATCATTCATGCGCCGGAGACTGTTCCCAAGAACAAAACCATTCGTTCCAATTCGAAAAATAGACAAAAAAAAAGAAAAAAAAAAACTCCTCGCTCAATCAATATAACTACCATACATCCACGATTCAAATTCACCATCGATGTGTACTTCGGACGCTATGAATACTTACTTGGGATTCGCAACCCACAAGTCGTTCACCAATGAACCATCATTTTTTGGTTACCAATGTCCCCGTCCGTCTATATTTGGAAAAAAAAAGAATCATTCAGAAGTGCACCAAGCCGAACGCGGGGCGCCGGCCCGATAAATACTAATCGTGGAGAGAGGACGGAATAGTAAGACAAACGATTGACACTGTCCTAGTTACGACAGGAACCGCGAACGGACTTACATTCCCCTCTTCTACAGTCTTCCCCCGAATACAACGTACGGTCATTATAGCTGAATTTGGTGCATCTTTCAGCCTAAATTCAGCTAAAATCACCGTTCGTTGTATTCGGGGGAAGACTGTCGTTACGACAGGAAAGAGGCACCCGACCGAGTCAAGTTCTTACCTACGTTCTTACAGTGAACATGGTGAAGGCAGAGTGGAAGGTCGAGGTTCCTGTGTCCCTAATCGTCCGGCATAGTGACAGGGTTCAGTTGTTCGCCCGCCGAAGTGCTAGGCCACAAATGACTTCACTATTACAATCTCTCCTCTCCTTTCGTCCGGCGATAATCACTGCCTGTCCCTAATCGTCCAAAATAACAGCACACACACAACTTCCGCCCCTAATCGTCGTCGAAAATAACAGCAGAACGATAATCACTTCCTGTCCCTAATCGTCCGAAAAAACAGCAGACACAACAGAAGACGGCGTGTGCATACTAATTAATAGCTTAACAGCGGCTGCGCGTGAGGAATCGGGTACTGACCATACGCAACTTTACCTCGCGGAGCTGAGAATGAAGCTGCGAGTTATTTACAGACAGTCAGCGGGACCAAACAGTGAAATTTCTACGGAGCGGGAGGAAAGCAAGGACTGGGATGCGAGAGAGGATACAAACACGGCACGGACGGGAGGACAACACCAGCACGCATACGCGACATCAGGGGAAAGGGGTCTCCGCTCAACGCGGAAAAGCAGGTTATCATAAAACTCAAATGTTTTACAATTGTGTACGGAGATAGACTGAGAGGCGAACACAGACAGCGAGACTTGGAACTCCAAAACAACTCGAGCGCATGACAACGACATCCACCGCCAACCAAAGCCATCGAAAGCCATTTAAATAGGCCGACCAATCCCAGTCCCCTCATACTAGGGCTGGCTTATGCCGAGATAGAATATCGCAATCTATCTTCAAACAGGAAGGCAGAGAAACGACCAGGAAAAAGGAAAACTTGCAGATCGCAGAAACTTCTACATTCCACCTGCCTCAGATACTTGGTCGGAAAGTTAGGTGGCGCCGCAAGGCGATTTCGGAAGAAGCCCCCTGAGGAAGGCCGGGAGCGCAGCCTGGCCGAAACGCGTCGGGGATGATGCGCGTTTTCCTGCTGAGAACAGTACATGCGGAGAGGTAATGATGACATATCGATGCTTGTACGAGAAGCAATCTATGGCCACTGTTTTCACTATTCACTACGTTCCACCTGCATCACCTAAGCAGCACGCTGGACGGATGCTGCCTTTGACTCGAGACTGACACGACTACCCTTCCTAACCAGCACGATGGACGGATGCTGCCCATGAATGACATAAAGCGCTCACACACTGCACTTGTGTACCCATTCGCCGCGTTTCCCAGCGTTGGGCGTATGAAACTCGCTGTCCATCGAAGGAAGCGCCTCGGCCGCACACTACTCTCCAACCGTGAAAAGACAAAACTACACTCGCCATTTTTTCAAGATACACTCGCCGTTTTACACATTCAGAGACAAACACTCCAGGACCGTTTAGCTCAAGATACACTCACCGTTTTACAAACACTCCAGGACGTAATACGGCCGCGAGGCCAAGGCGATCGAGTGATTACGAACAACATCAACACGCCCAACACGCCCGACTACCAACGAAGCAGGACATGAGTGTGTACCGATCGTCAAAAAAAAATCGACGCGCACGGGACACAGACACAGACACGGACACGGGCACGAACAGGGACAGGGACACGGTCAGGAGGAAGGCATGTTCTTAGACCAGCAGAAGAAGGGAGACGTGGAACGAATTAGGAGAAAACTGGTAAGGGAAACGACTCGCGCCTAGCGCATGAAAGCCCACATCATTTGCCAAATGCATCAATCACTCAACCAACCGATCAGGCAACCGAGACACGAAGCAATCTACGAGGCAACCGAGACAAGAAGCAATCTATGTGTGTGTGTGTACTTCAAATGAACACGAGAACAGACAACTTGAGTCCGTCCCGTCCCATACGTTAAAGTGGGACACAAATTACATCATTCTGGGAGGAGGGGTAGGGCTTGGGACCGATACAAGCAAACGCCTTACCTGAGATACAACACTAAGGGTATCTTTGACGAGATCACCTCCTACGGAAGGACCTTTAGAAGCAGGGGGGCGACTATGTGCAGAGCCGAAACCGACATACTTCCCTCCCTGACTTGGAGGAACCCCCTCTGGTCGGAGAGCGTTCTCCGACTGCTTCCGCGAGAAAAAGGACTCTTTATTGGCTGCCGAAGATTCCAATTGCGCGCGAGAGTATCCTCCGCCGGCTGCTGCCTGCCCTCCTCCCCCCGCTCCACTTCCAGATGAAAGATCCCCGTACGAAGAAGCGCGGGCTCCCATGCCATCAAACCTGGACGCGCCCGCGCCCGCGCCCGCGCCTGCTCCCGCGCCCCGTGCGTGGCCAAACTCCTCAGAGTGGTTTCGGCGCATAGACGATCGGTCCGCCCCGGCGGCGCTTGTGAACTCGCCCCAGTCATCCCAGTTCCCACCGCCACTGCCAGAGCGCGCCCCCGCGGAAGCCGTACCCGCATTTCCGCTTCCGACCGCAGCTCCCGACGAGCGCTCTATGGGAGGCGCGGTCCATGGTCGCCCCTCAGCAGCTGCCTGAATCTTCTCCCTGTACACTTCAGCTGCCCTTGAATTGTACTTCGCCACAGTGTCCGTCTGCTTGGCGATACCATATTGGGCAAAAAACTCGTTCAGGGCAGCGTTGCCACCGACCTCCATCTTTTTCAATTGTATAGGTGACCAAGAGTCCATCGTCACGGAACGCACGAAACTGATATGCACACCGAGACCCCGATGCTTTCCCGAACAATCCAAACACAAAAATACTCCGTACGTTACCGATGCCCATTGCGGATTCTTCTGACTACAATCCACGCAAACCTTATTCGAAGGTAGCGACTGTAGCGCCTTCAGCTTCACCCCCGCCGACATCGACGCCATCCTCTCTCTCTCTCTCTCTCTCTCTCTCTCTCTCTCTCTCTCTCTCTCTCTCTCTCTCTCTCTCTCTCTCTCTCTCTCTCTCTCTCTCTGTGTGTGTGTGTGTGTGTGTGTGTGTGTCTGTCTGTGTGTGCTTTGCGAAATCGAAGTGTACGGTGGAACTTCACCTACTTTCCCCTTGCCTCGAGACTCACCGGCTGAGACACGCGACCGCTCTCTCATGCACCTTCATCGCCAATGGTTTCTTTCTCACACTACATCCACGCCGTGACTGGACTCTCTCCCGTCGTTTCCTGCCAAGTCCCAGTGAGTCCTAGAAGTCTGCCTGTACATATCTACGCACGCCACTGCACACGCCTCACCACGGAATCCGCTACACTTGACTCGTGAAACACCTCTTTGACGGACAATATGTCCGTCGAAATAACATATGGCAGCGCTTGAAACGACATCGAGAGGTAAAGGAAAGCGAAATATGTTACTTCAAGACTTTGACCCGCCTCGTAAGACAAGGGATGTAAATAACAGATGCCAAACCCAAAACAATCTTACACTGATCATCGACTTCACTCCGATGAACACGCCTCATCAAATGGGCGATGGCGAAAAGAGGCGAAGGCGACTCATCACAGGCACCCGCCACGGGTGCCAGCGACGCACCAACAACATCCACGGGTACCGACAAAGCGGTAAATGAGGGCATCGAAAGCGAGGAGGCACCCGAAACGCGGTCGACGAGTAGGGTCCTTCTCCGAAAAAAGAAGGGGTGAACCGAATGAGTGAGAGTACGGAAACGCGGTCGACGAGGAGGGTCCTTCTCCGAAAAAGGAAGGGGTGAACCGAATGAGAGTACCTTGTTTGGCACGGTACAAAATTTGCATCTAGGAGCTCGTGGGTCCAAAACAGCAAGCCAGGCCAAGCCAGGCCCATCCTGTGACTAATTCGTGACGCCCGTGACTGCTTCGCGCAGGACTGTCCCGATAAGAGCGGTACCCAGCGACTTCGGCCATTAGATATTGACTTACCGTGAGGGCACGGGTGCACAGCCCGTGGTTCGTTTGTTTATGTGGTTCGGGAAGGGTAAGGTAGTGATTATGCTATTGTCTACCGCGCGGGCGCGGGGAATGCAGCCCTAAGGCAGCCAAATCAAAGAGACTAAGAGCTAACACGAGAGAGAGAGAGAGAGAGAGAGAGAGAGTTTTGTTCCATTTATTGTTATGAGTGTGAGAGAGAGAAAGAAATAGAGAGAGAGGGAGGGGGGGGCGGCTACCAGAGAGAGAGAGAGAGAGAGAGAGTTTTGTTTCATTTGTTGATGAGAGAGAGAGAGAGAGAGAGAGAGAGAGAGAGAGAGAGAGAGAGAGAGAAAGATAAACACATGCAAATGTAGACAGAACGTGCGAAGTTTTACTTTCACAGCATACACGTAATGTCCATGCCATGCAACACCAGTCGCGATTACCCTTCTACCTCAGTGCTCAAGTAATCATTTCAGCCACTATCCTCAATATTTATACCCTTTGTTCCCAGTCCTTCTCCGCCACTTTCCCTATCCTTGCAGTGTACTCATCATCTATCCTTAGGATCTTCCGCAATCGCTCTCTGTGTTGTCCTCGTCGTCGTCGATTTCCAACATGCCTTCAATCTGGAGCTACTTTCATCATATCTTATGATTATGTTCGTTGATTGATTTCGTCACCCTTGTTTCCAGTTATGTTCATTCTGTGTTCGCGTTGTCTGATGTGATTTCAAGTTTTAGAGATTGGTGGTAGCATGTTTGAAAAGATTTTAGACATTCCAACTCTTTCGTTTGATCTTCCTTACTTGCTATTATGATCATCATTACATCGTCCACAAAACTCATACCGTGGATAAGTTTCTCATAAATTCCAGTCTGTGCACATCATCTGTACTCGTTGAACGCGCATACCATGTTGGCAATGGGTGGGCTAGAGCCCTTCCCCATTGGTATCCCCATTACTTGGCATAATATGTTCCTTATACTTTGAAGTTTGAAGTATGCATGTTTGATGTCATAGTACAACAAATTCATTAGGCACTCAATTTTTAATGTTCTTCATCCGTAGGTTCCGATTGTTTTTTCAAAGTTCATGTACTTTCCTCTCATCTTGTAATACAAGTGGGTTTTCCGTTTTTCTTTCGCCGTTTTTATCATCCGTTGCATGACGTTTAAGATATATGTGTGATCGAGATTCGAAAACATATCTTTAACGTCGTATGTGGAACAGATTATCGTAGTCATATCCCCGTATGTTTCTTTTGCTACTTGATTGCATTTCTTCAGTCTCGGTAGTAGTTGATTCATTCCTTTTAGTGAGAAACCAACTTTCAATGCTTGACACATGAAGTTGATAGCTCTTGATAGTACCTTCGATGCTTTCCGAGATGACTTCTTATATGTCGATACAATTGGTCGGCGTCTGGTGACGTCCTTGTTTTTTAGAATTGTATACGCATTTTCGTATGATCCCTGTCCATCCCATTCTGCGATTTTCTTCAGCCCACATCCATGATACGTATTTTTGGCCAATTGAGAAATCTCAAATTCCGTTTGTTGTATAATTTCGTAGTGATTCGATTCCGGAAAGAATTTTCGGGTCTTCTCGTACCAGATTTTACAGTATTCCACAAACAAATTTCTAGGATTTATGTCCAATGGTGATATGATACGTTGTGTCAATCTTCTTTTTACTTCCCATACTTCTTAAATGTGAAGAAACATCTTCATATCATTCTTCTTTTCGATGCAAGTAGAGAGATCTATTTTAATTTCTCTTTTCTTCCTTAGTGGTCGTAGTATACTTGCAATAGTAGTGATGATTGTCATTTTAATTTATTCCTTTCCAATTCTTTCGTTCATATGGGGTACGTTTTTTGCATTCCACAAGAGCTGATTTTCTGTGATTTCACTTAATCTGCAGGCAATGTGGTTTTCAATTTTTGAAAGTCGGGATACTGCACAATTAAAGTCCGGTGTTTTTGTAAGCACCTGTTTGTGATTGTGTAATATTTCCCCGACTGTCTTTGATTTTTTAAACATCACACGCATCCGAGCTGTCAAATCGTTTGCCAAATTGTTATTACTTACGTTTTCCAAGATAGACTCGGTTGTTGTATTTCTCACTTGTTTCAGATTAATGCATGCATCAAATGAAATCTTAAATATCAGTCTTTTCTTGATATTGAATGAAAACTTCTTCTTTGAATTTCGTGTGAAGATGCCTTTAATTGTTCGTTTTTGCTTCTTTCCGGTAATCGATCCCACCTTTGACAGAAAAATCAGTATATCATCTAACGATAATTTATATAGTTTCCTCCATCTCCATGGTGCCCTCAAGCAGTTAATCAGAATATTTATATGTTTGTTTGTTTTCGGTCTCGTATGCACCAGTTGAATCACATAAAAAATACATCAATTTTCGATCCGTTTTCTGCATTTTTTTAGCAGGAACTTTGTGTTGTCAATTTCCACAATTATTGATCCGAATGCTCGTTTAATTACTCTCTATTTTTCATTCCATAGTTTTCCAGCTGTGCAGTAAATCATTGCTTTCGGTTGAAATATTGATGTTAACTTCGTAGTGTAACCCGATCGAACCGATTTAACAAAACACGTATATTCTGATTCACCTCATTGTTTCCATTTTTCTTCCTCTTTCTCCTTCTTCGTCTTCGGTTTTTCCAAGTCTGTCTGTCTTTTCCCCTTGTATTCAAGAATGGATTCAGTCTCATAATCAGTGCTGCTTCCATCCCTATCACCTATGATCTCACTCCCGCCCAAATGGGTATGAGAACATATTTCTCCCAACCAAATTTGTGCAGCCAACTGTATAGTTTTCGTTGTGCTCCTCTATTTGGATTCTTGGTCAAGTTTATGTGTTCAGTCCATTTCTTGTCGGGCTGTCTTCCTGTCCTCCCCACGTACATATGTCTACACCAAGGTGAAACTCCCTGTACTAACTAGTTGCTCAATTTTCATTGATAGCCTGTGTATCTGCTCCCACTTCTGTGTCGTGGTGAGGTCGCTTGATGCTGAGGTGTCTTCTACCTTCCTGACAAATCTCCGGTGCTCGAAGATGTGTCGGATGAGTCATACTCATCACTCCCGCTTGATCTTGTACTAAGGCTCTCGTAATCATCCTCACTTGTGTCGCCGCCAGTTGTATTGGACACTCTAATGTTATCTGGATCTGGCATGATCTGTGTTTCAAGATCAGAATCCCGGTTGAAGTCCCGCCCCTTGTAGACGATCAATCCAGGAACTTGCCTCAATGCCGAGATCGCTTGCGGCTTGTCCTTGTACCTGATGTCATACATCTTGCATAAAACCTTCAGGTCCGTGTAGTGAAGACGAAGGAGCTGCATGTCCGTCATCAGTTCAACCCCGAAATTAATGCTCTGTTTTGCCTTTGACTTCGTTGCCGACACGTTGCGATCAATCTTTGTTCGTCCTTTTTTGGGGTGTGGAGGGATTACGCGTCCCAATCTGCTTTTCTTCGGTGTGCTTCTGCTTGGCATGCTTCGGCTCGGAATGCTGCGGCTACCATGTACTGAAGTTGGTAGTCCAACCATTGTCCCCACATATCCGTTCGGATGAACCGAAGACGACACGATCGGAGTGCAGGTACGAGTCGGTTCATTGATCTTCTGCAACGCGCCCTTCACAACTGCCAGATAATACTTTAGTAGCTTTAGGTTGTTGACCTCCTTCTGCACTTCCGATACCATCCTTTCTATTTTATCTTCCGCCTCTGCATTCTTCTGACCGGTTGCGCTTGGACCAGCTTGAAGTGTTTCATCAATGATGGACTTGAGCGCGTCCGGAGTTAGCTCATGCTTCTTTGCGGTGTTTTCCTTGTTCGGAGGAGCTGGCTGCTTTTCACTTGTCTTTCGTGTGAGTTGCTCCAGTATCTTGAGAACTTTGTCCATCTCCCGACGGAGCTTAAAAATTTCTTCCTTTAGATCCGCTGTAAACCACGCTCGATTTCCCGGTGGGGGGAAATCATTCCGTCTTTGCTCCCACAATGGTCTCAAGAAGCACCTTGGAGATTCTGACTTCGCCCTTCTTCTCCGTGATGATGGTGATCATGACTTATGTCTTCTATCTCTCGGAGTTTTCAATCTCCCCCTTCTTGAGCGCTTTCTCTCTTGAGATCCGGAAGATGATGATGAGTGTCTGCGCCGCCTCCTGTTCGACTATGATCGTGAAAGCGACATCTTCCTTGAAGCTTGGGAACATCAGGTAGGTAGTCTTCGTACTTGAAATCGATACAAAACCCCACAACGCCGTTGATCGTCTTCAGTACACACCAGATAAGTACAATAAAATATCCAAAAATCGCTGAGTAATGTCCACGCTATAGTAATCTCCAACAAATTGCCACTATGATATCATGAAAGAAAAAGGTTACGAATGATGAAAGAGAGATAAAGACCGTGAATGTAAAATGGAAGAGTGTCAGGTCTATACAGTGCCAATCATCGAGGGTACCGCCCGGAAGTTCTAAACAACTGTGCATAGAGATAAACACATGCAAATGTGGACAGAACGTTCGAGGTTTTACTTTCACAGCATACACATGCAAATGTAGACAAAACGTGCGAGGTTTTACTTTCACAT